GTGTCTACAGAGGTCCAGTTGTGATAGACACGATTCGCCACTGCCAGTATACTATGCTGGTATGCTGTTTTTTTTAGCTGGCCAGGGTAGCTGGTTTAGCTGGTGGCCGATTTAGCTGGTTCCAGGGGCGGACTGGCCTTTGGGAATACCGGGAGTTTTCCCGGTGGGCCGGAGCTGTGCGTGGGCCGGAGGGCCAAAACATCCTACCGGCCCATATTTGTCAGTGTTCCGGCCACACACCCCCAGGGAGTGGCCGACACCCCAATGGGCTGGGCTGTGCCGTTTTGATAGGCTACCTATGTTCTATCTATCAGATAGTTTCACTTTCACATATCTGGCCCGTAGCAGTGAACGATCAGTAAGTGAAGACAAGGTTTTTACCAAATAAAAAATAGATATTTCACTCTAAATAACAAATATTGACCTCATGGTTTGACTAGCTGAAAAGTAGGATTCATCCTCTGTGTACTATAAATATCTGTATAAAATGTCATGACAAAGCATGATTTTGTTGTTGGTATAAGTGGAGAAAGGACTAACTGCAATCCCTGGAGCACTGGTGCAAGAATGGCTAAAGACTATATTAATTTCACCCTGCTGAAAACCGATTTCTTTGTAAAACATAGCACCAAGCATGTCATCTACGGAGCAGAACTCTTTGCTGCAGCGATTTTATGTCAGTTGTATTTTAAGAGTTTGACCTTAGAAAAAACTATGGTGCAGCACCAGAGCAGAAATCTGAAACACTTTGTACTTTCACAGTCTAAAAAGGTGATTTATTAAATATTTACAGACAAACTGCACGCATAAATGTGTCCGATAATTGTATTATTTGAATCAGATCATGTTTCAACGAGTAATTTTGGATGGTAGTGCTGCTCACGTTAGGAATAAACACCAGTAAAGAGGTTTTTCTCCTCTTCCGATCGTTTTAACAGGCTTAAGCTTCTCAGTTGGCAGCGGTTTACACTTCTTTTTGTAACATTATACCAGCTTTCTATTTCTATTTAGACCCTGACACACACATCTCTCACAGCGGGTGTACCGCTTGTCTTGTCTTCGGTGCATCAACACTCTTTCTTCTCGCACTTCACAGTGAATTATCCACAGCAGTCCTACTTTACACATGTTGTTTTTATTCTGTGTCTCCTGCTAGTTTGTATGCTCATGCTAATTTCTGTATTAACAATTGTGTAAACAGGATTTGCCCAAGGGGAAGCCGAGTAAAGGGGGGGAAGGGGGTGAAGTCTAATTAAATCTGACTTTAAATCTATTGTTTTTCTGTTTTTCTGGCAGGAGATGACAATGAAGACTTACTGGTGGTGTTGTATCTGACACCGTAGAACCACTCGGGACAGGGTCGTGACACCATCTGGCCCGCGCTGCTTCGGGGCCAGCAGGTGCCGATGCCATCGATGGAGGTGTCACAGGAGGGCCCCGGGCCTGAAGTGTGAGGACAGAAATGTAAAGACACAAACACGCATTCCTAACATGGCTCGGGACTACATACAGCCCATGGTGGAATCCTGACAATGCTCCAATGATCTTGGCAATAAATCTTGGAGCTGATTAAGCCGTTTGTGTGCACACATTTTAATGATTACTCCTGAGCGTGGTCTCCTGCTGAGAGTCGCCAAATCTATTTCAAGCCCTGTTCAGCTCTTTGATGTAAGTACTTATAATACGAGTTTGGATCAAACTTGTTTCCCTCGTGGGGTAGAACACAACAATTGTGCTTTGTACTGTAGTAACTGCGTAGGTAATCAGTTTCACACACTCACCGCTCCACTGGCTTGTGGCGTTGCTCAAGGTCTGGTTCCAGGAGGCGGCCAGCGACTGTACTGCAACCCAAGATGGAAGAAGAGAATCATCAATAACCTCAATCTCTGTTTGCATACTGAAAGGAGGGCTATGAAAGTCTCATTAGATGCAGCTTAACAGCTACAAAAGGGTGAGCATTAAAGGGCAACGGTAAACACTGGTGACAGACCTTTCCCTGGGCAATATCAAGGCGGTAGCAGCATATATGTATGAAGACATGCCCCTGGGGGGAAGGCTATTAATTCTGCAATAACTCAAGAGGACTTAGATAAAAAAGATCCGGAAATAAGGATTGTTATTGGGGGCAAAGTTGACGCCTCAGTCTCATGCTTTCACATTATTTTGCAAAAGCATGTTTTCACACCTGCTTGTGGTGAGAAATAAATCAAAAGCAACATTTACATTTTAGAAACACCCCCACAAGCAAAACCACAACATCGGTTTGCTTGAATGCCTAAAAGGACATGTTTTATGTTTTTTTGACAAAGAATAATTATTACTGAATTACTTTTCTCCAACTGATCGTGATTTTGCTTGTTATTTAAGCCAAGCAATTATGTCTCCATTAATAAAGTTGTTATTCTTTTAACAATGACCTTTAAAAGGAGAATTTGCAAAAGAAATAAGACGTTTATGACCAGTGTTGGGTAATAAATGCCATTACATTAAAATTCCGTTTCAATAGTCCCAGTCAGGATACTTTCACAGTTTTATATTTGACTTGTTGGCCGTCTTAATGGGAGTTTTATATCTAGTAACTATGACTCAGCCCGTGAAAATGGTTTAATTATATCTTCTATAGTTTTGGAGGAGCTTTCGTCACTGAGAAAATAGCTCTTGGCTTACGCTTAATTTTCAAATATTTTGGCCTTTACCAGAAGGACGTTTTTTTGTTTTAATACTTTTCTTTTTTTACACTCAATTCCAGTGCCAATCGACACCGAAGCTTGTTTTTCTTTCATCTACAAATGTGCTCAATGTAGAGTTTAATAAAGACCTTTGTCTAAATGAAACAGATCCTAAAGATTGATAGTCTCCTTATTTAAATCAGGAAATACCTGATCAAGGAAGATGTTATCAAGCTAAGGACAGAGGGTGTCGTATTGTCATACTGATATTCTGTACAAACTGTGAAGTCCACTGAGACAAATGTAACATTTGTGATATTGAGCTATATACATAAACATTGATTGATTGATTGATTGATTGATTGATTGATTGATCAAGCGGTAGAATTGGATTCTATTTCAGTGCCAGCTTATGATACTTAATTACAACTGTAACAACTGACTCCAAGAGAAACTATTCAACTACTATAGGTATTTGAATCATCTTTTGAGTCATTTCATAAATCAAAAATGGCAAACTGTGGTTGAAGCTTCTCCAATGAGAGGGTTTTCTGTATTTTTAATATTGTAAACTAAATATTTAGGGGTTATTGAACTGAAAACAAAGCTATGAACGCAGACATTTGGTCTGTGTTGGATACTTCTCACTTTAACAGAGACATTAAAAGGACAGAAGATTGGCACCTAGCTGCATCATGACACAGCAATGTGACAGCATAATACCAACATTGTGAGTATGAAACTAGGAGGCAAATAAAAACAGGAAGATCATTACTGGATTTGCATATCTCTCTGGGTGTTTACTGTGGTTCAGTGTTACAACTCATACTGTACTGTACTACTGAATATTATAAAATACATGTTGTCAATAAACATAAGGAGAGTTGGCATTTAGTGGTCGTATAAATGAAGAGACTGAAAATCTATCGAAGCACCAGCAGTGCCAGTAGAGCAACTTGAAACACGCACGGTGTAACTGCCGGCCGTTTTAAAAGCTTGTAACAGTTGCTGTCGTCGTAAACATCGACTTACATGAGACATTCCCGGACAGCATGAGCAGGGCTTCACATGTCAGATTCTCCAAAGAGCCTGAAGGCAGCAGGCTCATGATAGCACACACCTGCAGAGATACAACACACATCAATGAGTCACAAAATCCACAACATCATGTCAAATACAGCTATAGCCTCTTAAACATACAATATGTACATTTCGACTGCTAGGGCTGCCTAAAAAATAACTAAAGACGGAGTTTGTCTCGTGAGGAATCGTGGGTTCATGGGATTTGTTGTCTTCACCATCATCGATCGACATCATCACAGTCAGATTCCCCCAGTGTTCATTGCTCAGGAGGTTTTTACCGGGAGCCGAATTATCCGCAGATGTCTCCTCTCCAAAACAAACGGACCCACTGATTAAAAGCGGTAAAAAACCCTGAGTAAAGCAGTTTTACATAACAAATCAGCGTTTTTCCGACACCGCTCGACAGAACACAGATGTCCCGGAGAGGCTGGGACATGACTGGCCACGAATGTTTGCTCAGCTTGTTTCTCTGAATACGTGAGATCCAAATGTTGAGGATGATTTCACTGGGAGACAAATTATCCACAGAAGAATCTCCTTTTAACAAAACAAGTAGACAAATTGATGAAAAACTGTAAAAACACAGAATAAAGGAGATACACGTCTTTCTCCAATGAGGTTCCTTGCATTGCTTGTGATGGATAAGGTGAACAAACTAGAAGTAACACAGAATAAAGCATTTTTAAATTAAAATTCGGTCTTTCTCAATATGGTTTCTATAATCACATAGTTTCGCTGATAACCTGAGATTTCAAATATTGAGAATGATTTTACTGGAAGCCGAATTATCCACAGAAATCGCCTATTTTCCAAAAAAAATAGCCCAAGTAAGTAAAGCAGTAAAACCATAGAATAAAGCAATCTGACATTAAAATTCAGTCCTTTTCAAGTGTGGTTCCTTTATTCACATTGGTTTTCTCAATAAGTTAGACATACGTCTTAAGGACGATTTTGTTGGAAGCCTAATTATCCACAGTCACAATCCGAAATTTAAGCAATTTGCCCTTGAAATGTGTCTTTTTTCAATGTGTTTCCTTTAAAAACATTGTCTCTCTTACAACCTGAGATCCAAATGTTGAAGACGATTTAAATAGAAGCCGAATGATCCACAGAGCTCACTTATTTTACAAAAAACATGGACCAGGTGAAAAAACCAGTAAAAACAGCAAATAAAGCAATGTGCCGTTAAAATTCAGTCTTTCCCCAATGAGGTTTGTTTGCTCCGCTTGCGTCTCTGTTAAATAAAGATCGAAACGCCCCATGACTAAAACCTTCATCATAGATGTAAAAATAATTTGTAAAATATGTGGCTTGAAATGTAAAAGTTAAATTACAACAAACAAAACTCTTAACACATACACAAGAGGGATGCACTGCCGTTAGAGGCAACCATACAGTATGTACCGTTATCTTGATTCAAATGACCTATTTATCTAGGTCTGATGGAAAACTTTTTGGATACTGTAAACACACAAATCATCTAAATATAAAACATAGTTGTTTTAAGACATTTTCCTGCAGAAAAGTTGCATATACTTGTATTCCCTCACGTGCAACCAATGAAGACGGCTGAATCCAGTTGAAGGTCTCTGTGCCCTTGAGCAGAGGATGCATGCATTAACAACCCCTCACCGCCTAATTTGGAGCACTTTGTAGTGTGTAATCTCAACACTCTTTCATGTTTACAGATACAAAGATTTAATAAAACGTAGGCTCAGAAGTTCCTTACTTTGCCTTCTTCTGCTAAATAAAAAATATTTCAGTTTGGTTGCAGTCGGCCTACTTATCGTGTGTGCAGAGAGGGAAAAACATTTAAATAATGCACATAATTATAAAACTACAGTACAGGGGAGGGTTCATGTGAATGTATCTGCTGCGTCTCCAGTGTGTTTGTGCTTGTTCCCTGCACAATAACAATGTAAGCAAATCATACATTTACACACCAGAGATGAATAACCTCTATTTGCCGGTATTTTAGAGGACAGCACAACTGATCCATTTTTCATCCAAACTTTGACCTTCACTTGATTTCTCGTGACTGCTCTGGGAAAAAGTAAAAACATCCCTTGAATGTGTGCATTGTACTGCGTGGAAACCCTGATCGCTGCTGGCAGCTTCTGTCGGTGCCACTTCATAAGAGACAAAAAACACCACAAAAGGCTGAAACATTTAATTTCTTTAGTTTTCCTGGGCTTCTCGACAGTAGATGACCCCCATCTGGGTTACATGTCGGTGCAGCTGTCCTTGAGTACGGGCTTGTTCCCTGCGGACGGCTACTATTACCCATATACTGTAGCCAACGTTTCTTTCCCTCTTTAAATAAAACATTCCGCCTCAATAATGCAGCATCGGAAACGGTAAACATAAAGATGGAACATAAAGAAGAAGTCTAAATAATGGAAATTCCTGACTTTTTTTTTGTGTTGTTATTAAAAGTATCGCTCTGGAGTGTAAAAAAGAAAAAGGCATTCATAGCTCATGGCCACGGCAGCATGAAATGTGAAATACCAGCAGCGGGGTCACATTGAGCAGAAAGCTACACTGGCCCAGATTGTAAAGAGGAGCTCCTGATGGCTCGCTGCGTCTGTTACACGCTCAGTGAGTCCTGCGCAGGTATCAGGGCACACTGACACACTGTGCTGCGGTTATTAAAGCTCAGCAGCTGATCGACAGGCAGGATGTAAACGAGGATCACACAAACTAATATTCAATCAGCGGCCGGTATTTTCTGCGTTTGAAGAACACGCACATCATGGAAAAATGAATAAAACCATGATGAAGGAATTTAAATTACATAAATCATGGCTTCAAAATGATCATGAGGTTGAATGGAGTATTGTCAACAGAAAAAGCCAAATGTAACCATGTAATAAATAGTTAAATAGTAATAGTTTGATATACTGTGCTAAAGTATTATCATTAATAATGCATCATGAAATTACTTTTTGAATCATTTTGCTACTTGATCAAGAAAGAATAGGCTTTTCAAAGGGGACTTTTTTTGCTCATTTTCAGGTTCGTATCAGTATGTAGTGTCTCTACTTTAAAGAGTTCTTCTCCTGCTGATATTCAGGTGTATATCAGTATGTAGTGCCTCTACTGGGACATGTCTCCATGCTTTAATGTTCAAAAAGCTCTTTATGTTTCTCATACTCCCTGTGCTGCAGCACGTCTTTTCACCCTCTGTCTGAAACCAGAGCCAAGTCTGCTCTGATTGGTTAGCTGGCAGCCTAGTCAACCAATTAGAGATGTCTCGCCCCTTAGGCTATCACGTACAATGTGTTGGGGCGCTTACCAATCGAATTGGTAGTGTTCCATAGTGATGTCACTATGTTACATAAGTAAACTAAGGAGTCTAATGGAGGCGTTTCAGGCAGGGGGGGGGGAGGAGTTGGAGAGGAAACAAAGGGATATAGCCTTTGCAGACCATTTACATGCACAAAGACCTGTATAACCAAGGGTGCACATAACTTTTTTTGCTCTGGTTCTCAAAGGAGCACCTGGAGATGTTGCTTGGTGCGCATCCTTGAAATGAAATAAACCAGACCTTTTGAGGGGTACTTGACTTTATGAACGGGGGGAGGTGCTCTGCGTGAGCACACAGCAGGGTTACTGTGCAGAGCGCATAAAGCAGACCCTTCACGCGATAGCGAGGGGTAGAGCGAGGGATCGCAGATGCCGTCGTGCTCGCGGACGGATTAAAAAAATTAAACCAAAATAGCTCGCAAATTATACTTTGGCGGCCGTTAATATACCTGGGCGGCCCGCCCAAGTAAAGTCTATGTGTCGGAAACCCTGCTATCGTTACCACAGTTGCTTATGGCAACTCGTAAATATCTCTCATTCTCTCTTTTCCTATCTCTCTCTCTCTCTTTCTCTCTCTCTCTCTCTTCTCTCCTCTCAATGTTGGTGCGCAAATCGCCTTTTTTCAAATGATCGGTGCTCTTTTTTGGGTGGGCGGGTGCGCATGCGCACCTGCGCACCAGTTACTGGTGCAGCCCCTGTATTAACACACTACTGGAACAGAGTAAACCCATAAAACATAATAGGGCCTCTTTGAATATTTTTGTTTCGTGAAAGAGATACATGCAGGGTCATGCAACGTAATCTATTATGTAGATCAAGCAAGACATTTTCCAATGATTTTTTTGCCACTATTAAAGTTTGTTTCTTGGAAAGATTCAAACGACTAAAAGTGTATTAGTAATTGATTACACTTTCAATTGCTATTAAAACATTGCCAAAGCTTTAATATTTACTTGATCCAAAGGTTTCTCAATTCTTAATCCGAGAAATCTTTCCCCGCTCAAACCCTACTTTCTGGGTTTTAACAGTTTCCGGCTAGAGCCGTGGAAATTAAATTCCGCGGTCCATTTGGCTTTTGCAGACTTTATGAATAGGACCAGGGTTTTTTTTGGGCAGGTGGAAACCAGCCACAGGCAAGCTTCCCAAAACCTCATGATTATACTAGGAAAAGAGTCAAGAAAGCACGATCCATGGTTAGTGGAAGATTAATGCCATGGTGGATCAGAAACCAATCATAATGTGCTTTGAGCAATTTGCAGATCATTGAAAGTTAAATGTATTGATGTGAGGATGCAAAGTGAGTTTTTTATTGTGTTGTGTGACATTTCCATCCATTCAGATATCTTGTCTCACCGTGTGTGTGAGCCACATGAGTGTGTGGCTCATTATTTACATTTAGTCAACAATCAGACATGACTTTATTCCGCAATATGCTTTTTCTTCTATAAATAAATTAACATCAACTTGTTTGGAAAAAATCTAAATATATTAGTCTATAACATTTGCTGTTCCTTGACAATTTTGCATTCTGGAGGAGACATCCACGTGCCCATCCCGAGCTGGGAGTATACCTTTCATTATAATTATCAATTACGAATCACGTAAGATTTAGATCGAATCACTCTATTATTTCAGATCTACATTCACATCTATGTATATAAAGTACTCCCTGTTCCCTCGGTTTCAATTACTCTTATGGTGTATGGTGTTAATAGAACTCAAGGCCAGTTA